CCAGAATCCAACAGCATAAGTAGCATGTTGAGGGAAACCATCCAAAAATGAACTTTTACAAGGTTTCAATCTAGACATGTTATCATTTCAGTTTTTGAACTGCAAAATGGAAACATTATATTCAGGATATATGTTACTTCATAAAACATAAAACATAAATGTTTAAAATCTTGGAAAGGGAAGGTAATGCCATTGGGATATTTGACGACCACTGAGTGCTCCCACAACCCAGTCCCAATTCTTGCAATTAGATATTTAAATATTTGGAACTGGCCCAAGTCAGCAATAGAGACAGGAGGATAACCAAGAGGCAGGCTAGAATGCCTCTGTTTACTGAGATATCAGCCTAATTTTAATGATGAATGTCAGCCCTCAAACCCTTACTCCAAAACACATCCTATATACCGCTTCCATTATCCATCATATTCCCCATTGTTCTTCCATGGCCCTTCATTTTGAGTTCTATCTCGATACCACACTCGCCCCCTCTATGCCATCTCTGTACCTCCAAATACCACTTGTATCCTCCAAAACCATTCAACCAGTCTCCCTATGTGCCAACCTCAGGAACAATGTCCTTAAAATGCAGATGAAACAATAAACTTCTAAGAATCAAGTAAAATTCTCATTCAAACACATTTTGGACTGATAAACTTTCGTTAATAAAACTCATTTAAAATGTATATCCTTCTTGTAAAGGTAAGTTAACATCAATTTACTTACCACACATCAAATACAGGTAGTCCTCTTGGTTTCCACTTAAAACTGAATCAAAATGTGAACACAGCACACAACTAACATAAGCTCCTGAAAAGCTAAGTATTTATAATAGGCTTGGTTTTATGAAAATAATCTTGGGCAATATAACAATGAAGCTTGTTGAAACTGAAAAGCTCTATTTTGTCTAAACCACATCAGATGTCCTATTAATTAAAGCAGTCAAAGAACATGCGGGAGCTGTTTATCCTCTGTGAAAGCAATTGAAGGTTTCCTGACTCTGGGCATTTAATTCACTTAAGGCTATCACACGAGAGTAGCCAAGCTATGGTTTATTCAGTTTCTAATGCATAAGAGCCCTTTTCCAAATGAGAAAAGTATTCCAATTCATTGGAACTTTTATACAGTGGTGATCATTGTAATGGTCAACTTAATTTTACAGGACAGTGCCCTATAGTCAATCACTGCAGTACCTTACAATACAGTATCTAATTATTGAAACTGAGAGTGAAAAACATTTTTCTTTTGATGAGCCTTGAAATACACGTAAAGTTTCCAAGACCAGGTGACTTCTTGTGTTTCTCTGCTTGGCACTGGAGGTCTCCCTTGATATAACACTGCCACTGAGGTGCCACAGTGTCTTTCTAACAAAACAGGCCTGATTCCATGAGTATAGCTGAGGATCTGAAATTCCCAACCCCACAATAGATTAAGCTGGGTACGCTTGCTGTGAGCCATATTCCAGGGCCATAAATACCTCCACATGATGGGAATGGGTAAAAGAATCCCAGAATCGAGTCCTTTCTTCCATTATTAAATAATTCCCTGCCTCTGTTCCAGTACAGTCAAAGTCATTAAATTTTAGGCCCTTCTGTTTGTAAAGGTCAAACAGAAACAGTTAACATTTTCTGGAAACTTGGAGCAACATCCTGAAGTAATGAGAGCTACAGTCCAAGACCTGAGACCTACTAAAGATTTGGACACCTCTTCCATTTGCAATTGATCCTTTTGAAATTGATTGCCTTTTGGCATCTGTATTGTAGGTCATACTTAAAGTGCACCACTTTTCAGTAGATATAGCTTTGACTGGGACAACATGGGTCATTTCTGAAAATACAGCCTGGGAATATGTCAGAAAGGGAATGGGCAGCAGATTCACCTGCCACTCTTGAGGTAAAATTTACAAACAGAAAGGCCTAAAATTTCATGACTTTGACTGTACTGGAACAGAGGCAGGGAATTATTTAATAATGGAAGATAGGACTCGATTCTGGGATTCTTTTACCCATTCCCATCATGTGGAGGTATTTGCAGGGTAACTTAGTGGAATAGAGATCTGGTAATTTCAGATTCTCATCAAAATGCAACCTCCATGAATCTATAATTCTGTTTGAGTCCAGATTTCTAGCTGTTTTGAAAGGACTCAAATTCTTTAGTGGGATAATTACAGCTGCAACCCTCCCCCAACCCACCCTGATCTCGGCAACAATTCCGAAAAACTAACATCTGCAAATATAAAACTGTGTGGAGTTTTACCTCTAGCATTGGTGTACAGCTATTTGTACCACTATTCGCTGATAATTAACTGTTTTATTGATAGCTAGGTTTCTTGTAAAATTTATGTAGTAAGCCCTACCATTCTCACCATAGTAGTTATATGGTATATTAAAACATTTCATACGACCTCGGCTCCAAAGTCCCACAAACTGTACTTTCCTGTAGCAGCATTTCCAGTGCCTAAGGTTAATTGTGTCTTCTGGTTTTTAGCTGCTAGTTTCAAATTTGAGTCATTAAATGAACTACTGATCCTAACAGTATCATAAATTGTGTAACTAACAGTAAATGATGTTGTTAATGGCATTCCAGAAAGTTTATGGGAATCCTGTTGCTTAATATATAACATTGGTGAGAATCTTGCCTAATATAAGTTAGCAAAATAGTTCAATTCACTACTGGTTGAGTGATTTTATGAGGTATTTTGGCATTTTTCTGATCTGTATCATACTTGCTTTATTCATATAGTATAGACTACAATATACTGACCAGGATTCACATAGCAACACCAGTGGATTTAGCGTGATAGTGAATGGACTAGCAACTCCCATGAATAGCCCCTGTTTCCAGGATTTTATTCTAAAAGGGCCTTTTCAGTATTATTCCCTTGTTTCAGACCTTTAACGTTAGTAACGTCAGGGAAGATATCAACTTTTTCATGTTTAATGACGGCAAGGATAATTGAAAGGGGCTTTTAAATATGAAAGCACAAAATTATTGTTTCTATTAGGCAAGGCGTTCTTTTCAGATATTAAAAAATGTATATTTTTGTTTCAGTGTCATTGATCACTGGGAGGTAATTATGAAAATAGCTGAGCCTGATCCACAAGCTTTGCTAGAACTGAAAAATCAAGATTGTTATTTATTTTCTATCAACATCTTTAAGGTTTACACTCAGACCCTACTACTGTTCCGTTCACTCACTGTGTTTTCTGCTATTGATGTAAATATTTTTTCATTTTACCTACTAATTTCCTCTGAATGAGAAACTGTGGAGCACGGATCCTCCATCCATTTGGAGATGGAAGGGTAGGAGCTGTAACACCAGCATCTTCAAGCTGATTAAATCAAACTATAATAAGTGAGAGCAAACTTGAATACTGGCTGTGTCATCAATGATGAAGCTTTCTCAGTACAGGCTTGATCCTTGATAACATTGTCATTAACTGGATCTGTACTGACCCAGATCTGACAGTTGATGCAGAAGGGTCTGTGGATCTGCTTATTTGTACACCCCTGGCAGAAGCATTGAAGGCCACCGCTGCTGTTATTATTTACACTATGGCACCCTCCTGTTCTTCACAATCTACGTTTATGAGTTAGTCTTTCACTATCCACACTGTCAGGTAAATTTCTGACACTCAGTCCCATCGCCAAGCTGAATACATCAGCTGGCATCTCAGCCAGTCTCAATATTAATGTTAAATTTTGTGATAATAATATGTCACTCTTAACGTACAAGATGAGTTGGACCTGTATATGTCATTTGCAAGTTTCACTGGCTTTTCCTTCTGGGAAGACTGTTGGCTTGCTTTTGACTTAATGTTTCTAAATATGCATCAGTGACATGGAACCTAGTTTCTCAGCAGCAATTGGTGAAAAATTCTAGGCACACTCCAGTCATTTTCATTGTACTCTGGCAGTAGGTGAGGTATTATCACTGGCGAGGTATACTCTGAGATATTTAAGATAACAACCTTTTCTTTGTGCGTGACTGGACTGCACTGAAAAGCATGGTGTTTTTTGTAGAAAATGTCTCACCCACCGCAAACATGTTCCTTGCGCAATTATCAATCCATGCAGAGAACACAATCCTAATATAGTTAGGAATGATTTTTACATTAAGGAGTCATTTCAATATCCACTGATTACTATTAGCATTACAATGCTACTGCCACCACAGTACAGCTGCAGAAGTTACTGTTAAGAGTCACTGTATTATTAGTTGCATAATTTCCAACAAATATAAGACTTAAGCCTGGAAACATTTTAATATCAGATGTTTTTGCCAGTAACTTATTTCACAGCTTTGAATAATGATATCTCAGAGGATGCTTGTGCTAGGGGAGATGACAGACATAAAGAAGGACTTGAAAATAAGGATGAAAATGTTAAAATGGAAATGATGCTTAGCTATGACAATGTATATCGAGGAGTACAGGGATGATGGGTCACCAGGATTTGGTGCTTGCTAATATCCCTTGTCATCTGTTGCTGTCACTATTCAAAGGCCTGTAAAGTGCAGGAAGCTTTTGGACCCAACTTACAGTGTCCGTCTTTGATTTTTACCTGAGATATTCATTTAAGTTTTGCTAATGTGGTCGATCAACTCCCTAATCTAGAACTTAGTGTTTTATAACTCACGATACAATTGTCTGACAAGATCACATTTGGCATGTTGTGAAACAATTCCATGGTGATAGTATAACATGACAATAGTTATTAAATTAATGTTTGGTAGAAAAAAAGTAATAATTTTACTAAACTTCTAAGTAGTTTTTTTGCAAAATTTGCTTTCATAGTGTTTTCACAGAGACTCTTGGAAAACCTCTGAAATTTAACATTTTCATTAAATTGAAGGGAAAATCTTGTGAAATGATGCATGGATGAAATTAATCGTGGTGAATTGGAGTTTTTGACTTCAGCCAAGAAACTCAGATCTTGCGTGCCTATTTAATTAGTGTTCTGATCTCTAATGTGTCTTGTGGTCTTATGGTCTCTTGTTTCAGGCAATGGAGAATGTAAAAGAGGTGAATGCCAATGCTTTGCTGGCTGGGAAGGTGAAAGCTGTAACTGTTCGTCCTCCCTAATGTCCTGCAGGACAGGACAGGGTCAGATCTGCAGTGGAAGAGGGACATGTATCTGTGGTAGATGTCATTGCACTGAATCCAGAGCCTCTGGTCATTTGTGCGAGATTTGCCCAACATGTGAAAATTCCTGTGAAAACAGCTGGTATGTTTTTGCAATTCATACATTCACATCATTTTACTGTTTTTTTCAAATTGCTGAAATAGAGTCATAGATTCACACAGCATGGAAACAGACCCTTTGGTCCAACTTGTCTGTGCCAAGACATCCCAATCTGAACTAGTTCAATTTGCCAGCATTTGGCCCATATACCTCTAAACCCTTCCTATTCATATACCCATTCAACTGCCTTTTAAATGTTGTAATTATACGCGCCTCCAACACTTCCTCTGGCAGCTCATTCCATTCACACACCACCCTCTGCATGATTAAAATTCCCCTTCAGGTCCCTTTTAAATCTTTCCCCTCTCACCTAAACCCATGCCCTCTGGTTTTGGACACCCCAACCTCAGGAAAAAGACCTTGACTATTCACCCTATCCAGTAGAGTCCTGGGGCAGGGTGGAGGGGGTGGAATGCTGTTACTAAACAAAGAGACCTAGGGATGTGGGTGCATAGTTCCTTGAAAGTGGAGTTGCAGATAGACTGGGTGGTCAAGAAGGTGTTTGGCACACTTGCCTTCATTGGTCAGAACATTGAATAAAGGAGTTGATACATCATGTTGCAGCTGAACAGGACACTGGCAAGGCCACTTTTGGAATACTGCATACAATTCTGGTCACCCTTCTACTGGAAGGATGTTGTTAAATTGAGAGGGTACAGAAACGATTTACATGGATGTTGCCGGGATTGGAGGGTTTGAGTTATAGGGAGAGGATGAATAGGCTGGGGCTTTTTTTCCTGCAGCATTGGAGGCTGAGGGGTGACCTTATAGAGGTTTATAAAATCTATTCAAAAACAGAGCAGGTATCCAAAAGGATGCAACATAATGGAAACTCAAACTCTTACTGATAATGTGATAAGTGTGAAGGTAAAAATCAAGGCTGTGGTTAAATTTAAGCAAAACTAATAATTTATAATGATGGTGAATAATGCTCAAACTGTCTGTGGAGTCACTTCATGGTACAGTACTATCCAGCTCTTCAAATCACACAATGATTACACCATCTCGTTGCTCTGTTTGTTTGCTGTGATTACTGAGCTACTTCCTGTCTAAAATAAACAACAGTTGTGTTGAAATAAACATCACTTTGGCAAAGTAAGTTTAGCAGTCAAGTGTGTAGTATTGAACAATGGAACTGAAGGAAACATTTTTGAATAATCAATGCTTATGTAGAATTCAAACAAAGTGCATTTATAAAACTGAAAACTACTACTTTAACTTTTTGCAGAATAAACTGCTAATGAATTGAAATGTATAACTTATTTTTTACATTAACACAGATGGTCTTCATTAAAACTTCTTTTTAAAGTTTACCTTTCACACCTGTCCCTGTGCAATAACTGCCATAAAACTCCTTATATAATTGTGAGGATGGCAACATGGAGGACCCTATGACACGACATAAACAGTGTGTGCCTATGTTTTTATATTCATTCACAGGATGAGGTCTTCGCTAGCTAGGCCAGCATTTATTGCCCCATCCCTAATTACCCAGAGGCAGTTAAGAGTCAACTACATAGGCTGTGGGTCAGGAGTCACATGTAGGCCAGATTTCCTTTCCTAAAGGACATTAATGAACTAGACTGTTTTTTTCCCGACAGTTGGCAATGGATTCATGGTCCTCATTAGACTCTTAATTCCAAATTTTTATTGGATTCAAATTCCACCACCTGACATGGTAGGAATCAAGCCTGTAGCCCCAGAGCATCACCAGGGTCTCTGGATTAACAGCTCTGTGTTAATACCACTAGACTATCGCGTCCCCCTATGTGCCTCTAAAGCAATGCTATAGCAAGCCAAAATACAGATGCCTAGATATACAAGGTGCCTGGCTGATCCTCAGTGAAAACCAACCTGCTACAGGTATGTGAGTTCTAGCTTTCCCTCTCCTCTGAACTACATGCAAGTCCTTTATTGATGCTGAGTTGAATGGATGAATGGTCCAGGAAGAGTGTGACCATTGATCATAGGGGCACCTTTTGCAGAGGAAGCAGTTCCATGTGAAGAAAGGCTAGGTGGCTGGCGCAGCCTTTCTACTGGCTGCAGTATACACTGATGAGCGTGTTGCCAGATACCTGCTCTGTTTTACAGGTCATGTTTTTGTGCTGTCAGGTTTTTCAGTTGCAGAGAAGAAAATTGGAAGTGCAGTGTTAATACAGTGAGTTGGGCAAGTAATGACATGCAAATAAGCTTCTCATCAGCGGACAGTAAAATTCTGAATTCTTCATCCAAGGCTCAAGAGCTTAATTGGGAGAATTTTTCTTCCAGTTAAGTTGAGAATCTGATTTTTGGACACTCATGATTAAGTCAAGTTGCTCACCATCATTCTCAGCACCTCAGTGAAGGGAAAATTCCATCATCTGTTTAAAATCTAAGTTTTCCTCCACGTTTCCTCCATCTCTTCTTGTATTTAATGGTTTGGCGTTGATTTTTGTTTGTGTCTCTGGAAATGTCTTGGGATGATTTCTACTTCTGGCAGTATGCACATTTAACTCACTATTGTACAATGTGAACATCCATAACTAACACAGGTTCTTTACAGTATGTTCCAGCAATACTACTGTGAGCCTAGCATAATAAAACCATCAGGCATATGCAGGTAAGCACATAGGAACAGGAGTAGACAATTCAGCTCCTCAAGTCTGTTCTGCCATTCAGTTAATGACTGACCCATACTTTAATTCCAGTTATTTGCCTTTGCTCCAATTTTCCTCCATACCCTAAGCTAGCAAAGAAACTAACAAGTTCTATTTTGCAATTTTCAATTGATCCACCATCCTCATACTTTTGGGGGCACACTTCCAGATTTCCACTAACTCTTACATGAAAAAATGATATTTCCTCATCCCCAAGGGTGGCATGGTGGCTCAGTTGTTAGCACTGCTGCCTCACAGTGCCAGGGACCCGGTTTCGATTCCACCCTTGGGTGACTGTCTGTGTGGAGTTTGCACATTCTCCCCATGTCTGCGTGGGTTTCCTCCGGGTGCTCCGGTTTCCTCCCACTGTCACAAAGCCGTGTAGGCTAGGTGGGTTGGCCATGCTAAATTGCCCATAGTGTTCAGGGATGTGTAGATTAAGTGAGGTATAGGGTGATGGGTCTGGGTGGGATGCACTGAGGGTCGGTGTGGACTTGTTGGGCCGAAGGCCTGTTTCCACACTGTAGGGATTCTATGATTCTTAAGTTGTACAGCCATAACTACACTGAAGATCCCTATACATTACAGCTTCAATCTGTATCACTTTCTACAAAGAGCCCCAAAATAGATGTCATTGTCTCATTTACATGTGTAAGCAACCTAATACCTCTTTAAGGAGATAACCACAGCAATTGAACTAGAATTCCCCTTATAAATAAGGACCACATTTCAAATTCAATGATTTTTTATATTATTAAACAAATACATCTTTGCACCATTCCCTTTAAGCACTTGACACATTTATTGAGTTTTATTTTTAGTTGAAGAATATAATGACTGGATAAAGGTCTCATGGCAACAAAATTATAAACAAATTTCCATGTTATCAGGCATTAATGTGCATATGTGCTGAAGTAAAATATATATACCCATATCGATAATACTGAAGGTTTATCTGACTTATCCTTTCTAGGAAGTGTGTGCAGTGTCATGTGTTAAACTACTGGGCAGTGTATCCTGCCAATTGTACAAAAGCATGTTCTCAAATGGTGTTGGTGGACCAGCTTTCAGGTACGTTTTTGTTTAGATTCCACTGTTTCACTTTATGTGCTATATGTTTCAAACTTAAGAGTTACTACCTGATTTAATGTTGTTTAGAATGGAAAAAAAATTCCCCAAAATCTTTTTACAAGTGCGTTACCACTGTTGGGATCTTTCCTTCAATCTAAACTACCGCTCAGTCCTTAAAAAATTTCTGTCTGTCAGAGTTCTCCCTCTTAAAGTTTTACACCAGAAGCATGTCTGAGCTATACAGTAATACTGCTTGTATGTGACATTGTAAAGGAGCAATCTTTTCTTGTCACAAAATGTGATTAGTATCACTATGGAGTAACATTTCAGACAATTCAAGATATATAAATCTGTACAGTATAAATAGCACCTTTTTAGAAGAGCATTTATTATGCAGGTTTGCTGTCACAAAACAAACTTAAAAATCTCTTTGTTTCTTCACTTATATCTTTGTTCAATAAATCTGAAGCAACATGTTGGCTATCTGACAAAGACAAAAGTCTTATTATCATTAGTAATGGAGTGTGAGCAATACCTTCCCTCTGTCATCCTGTTAAATTCCCATTTTTTTCCCTCCTCTTCATTCCACTGGTCTAATATTGTTCTGTTTACATTGTGGGTCATATTGAGGATTCTGACGCATGTTTCAGTGTATTAATTCTTTTCTAATAAATGACATTCATAAAAGCCACATAACCATTCAAATGTCACATTGAATGTTTTCCGTTAAAATGGATAGCATGTCTGAAAAGGTTCTGGCATGTTTGGGCTATACCCAAACATGGCTCTAGTGTTTGCTTGCAGCTCCCAGGATATAACTTCTCTATTCAGGAAAAGATGCACAGTCCTAACACTGAATTTTCTGAGATGAGAGTGCAATAGTCACTGTAAAGCAGTGATCAATTTTTTGTTTAAATGTAATTGTATTCTTTTCATGGATTGTCACAATAGATAATATAGGTGAATGCGATTATTAAATAACGAACCTGTTTGATTTTGTGTATCAGCTCTACCAATCGACATTCAAAGATGATATTTTGATTGACCCAGAACTCCCTAGAAATTTTTGCTTTAACCATAGCAAATAAGTGATGGTATGTTCTGTTGTGCACAAGGAAATTGCCACAAAACTGATTTGATTTTATTTGATACTGACACCTCTATCTCTAAATGTATTCCATCATTTCTCTGATTCTAAGTTACTTGTGCCAAAATCCCTCCCTTCATTTTTATATCCCATCTTATTTTAAATAGATATGTTTGGCTAGCTGTAACATGAGCTATGAATCAGAATTTGATATGTTTAAAGACATTTTGTACCCACTATACATAACGTGCTGTAAGTTTCCATCCACCAAAAACTTTCCAGACCTCCCTCCCTTAAGGAAATCAAAGTTAATGGAAAAAGACAGCATTTATTAACTATTACCCCTTTTCATGATTCTGTATTTGACCTTATTTTGTGCCTTTATTTTTAATATTTATTTTTAATAGGCAAATAAGATACTCAGGAAATCTGAGTATATGTTCCCCATGCAAGACTTATAAATTTCAGTAAAAACCGAAATAACTGTGGATGCTGTAAATCAGGATCAAAAACAGAAGTTGCTAGAAGCTCAGCAGGTCTGGCAGCAGTTCTGAGGAAGGGCCACCGGACCTGAAACGTTAACTCTGATTTTTTCTTCACAGATGCTGCCAGACCTGCTGAGCTTCCAGGAACTTCTGTTTTCGTTACAAATTTCAGTGTAATTTATATACGGATGTAATCCAGGAAAAAAAATGTTTTTGACATAATTAGTTTTCACTTTAACTAAAACGGATGGGAATTCTCTGAAGGTATGATAGCATTGAAAAATGTTTTGTTGACCATGCCATTAACTTGTGTTTTGTTATCAGAATCAGAGGAAGAAAAAGCACAACACTGCATTTTTCAGGCGCAAAATAACTGCTTATACAAATTTATGATGGTAGCAACTGACACTGAAAAAGAATATCTTTATATATTGAGAAACCCAGGTAAGTATTCTATATAATAACATTAAAATATTAAGAAGTGTTGCTGAAAAATTCTATTAGCTCTTCAAAGTTTATCCTTCCATTACATGAGTTTTAAAAAATAATGATTCCATGTACTTTGTTTTTGTTGCCTTGCTTCCTAAATTATTTCAAATATTGTACAAATATTGTATTGAGTAAGGAAGCTTGTATATCTGTGCTCAATTTATTCGTGATGAGTTTTAATATGTCCCTACTTTCTTGGCTGCTTTGAAATAATCCTGTTGTTTACCCTACCTGCATTTTGACATATACTTAAATAAGGGACATCTTAACAACTTTCTTTTCTAGGTATTAGCCTACAAACTATTTCATTCTTTTTCCACAGGCTTATTATTCTTTATACTTGGGAATCAAGCTGAATTTCTTTATGCAGTTTCTAAAATAAATGATTTTAACTGCTATAAAGTAATTGGATTTAACGACCAGACATTTATTTGGGCCTCATTTGAGAGACAAACCAGCAGCTATGACTAATGTGTCAATACCAAGTGAATATGGCAGTTATGACATTGTTGCGTGCTTGGTAGGTGACTCCAGAAATCACTTGCTATTGTTTGAAACTGCTGCTCTGGATTGCTGCAGTGCAAACTAAGCCCTAATTTTAACTGCCTACTTCCTTGTACGATAAGAATGTGAGATAAGGTGAGACAGTGACACATTGGTAATGTTTGGACTAGTAATCCAGAGGCCAGAGCTAATTCCCTGGGGATATGACTTTGCCTGCCGTTCTTACTTCCTGTGAAAGAATAAAAACACTGGAAGATACAGATATCTGCAGTGTAAGATTCAATGGGAGACCTTTAGCAGAGATCCCAGCCGCTGGCTGCAGAGCAAGTGTGATGTCTGTGTGACCTCCTTCAGGACTTTTGTGCCAAACAGGCAGGTCTTCAATGGGATCAGGACGTATCGTGGTAAATCTCAACCACTGAGAATTAAAGGCCAACAAAATACTGCAGCAGCTCTTTTGCTGAGCAGCAGCTAGAAGCTGTGGTGATTGCTGCTGGTACAATGTTCACAGAATGCCCAGGGTGATGGAGCGACCCAGACTCAAGGTAAGTGATGGCAGGAGAGATTTTGCAGGATGGGGATCACGAGGGGCAGCATTGGCAGCAAGGACAGCAAGACAACTTTCAGCAGTCCTCCTTCCCCATTCCCAATGCCACCCCCTCAATCCGGCCCCATTCCAATCACTGCAACATACACATTTCCCATCAAAAAATCCAGCTGGATCTGCATTGTGAAATGGTGACAGAGTGCTGAACTGATGTTGTAGTAACATTTTAAGAAACTGCTCTCGCTTATCATTTTTCTCTCCTGAATCCCTGCTGGAAAGGGGATACCTCCTAAGACTTCATCCCCTGGACAGGTCAGGAGAGGAAAGCAGCAAGCCCAGGACGATGTAATAAAAAAATATTAGTTATAACAGCTCCAGCTCGACACACCTATACGATCGGAACCCTCTCTTTTACAACCCAAGATATCTGGCTTCGGATCAAATCTGGATCTTGACCTTAGGTAAGCAAATTCAGGCAAAGCAAGCAACCTGCACGAGGACTGGTGTACGGGAAGCTCAGTGATGAAAAGCAGTTGGTAAAAGGGTGAGTGTAGGAATGATTAAAACCACCATTAGGGGGTCAACCGCAACAGGATGAGTTAGACAGCGGAAGAAGCTGCTTCAAAACGGCACTGATTTGTGGAGCATTTATTTAATTTCAGTAGTGGACATTATATTAATTCATGCATTAAAATGATATTTTAAATATTAATCACTTGGAATGTTTTTAATGTTTTGTTTTTTATTATTATTTTGCAGAATACTACTCTAGCTACAATATCCTTGCAATGTTTCTTGTCTTCTCTGCTGGTACAGTTATTACTGGATTATTCATTGTGATGGTAATCAGGCAAATAATGATGCACTGGAATTCAAATGAAACAAATCATCCTGGAAACAATTGCAAAGTATCTCCTCCACAAAAGGTAGAACTAATAGGTTACAAATTTGCAAATGGTCAAAAAGTTTAAAACTGTTTTGATTATTAATGGTAATTCATCATGAGGGAAATATACTGGGAAAAACTACTGAAGGTACCAATTTCTTTTCTTTTTCAAGGGAAAACCTTCATTACCTATAGTTAGTTCAGAAACTACAGCATTCAGGCGTGACAAGCCAGAGGACCTCCATGTGTACATCAACAAAATGCAAGTAATTTCAGAAGCTTGACTTGTAACAAAAATATTAGAAAAAATATTACAGGCTCCTATCTTTCATGGGCTCTAGACCAAATGACCTGCTCAAAAGACAGATATGATGAGAACGCCATGTTCAATCAATTCAAGCTCACTCATCCAGAAACGAGAAGAGTTCCCACTCTTTGTAGTATTACCAACTGTTTCTTAAGTCAGCCTTACATTATTTTGGCTTGTATTCACGTATACTATTAGAATGGCCAATTTCAAGTTGTGTTTTCATTTTTTTTGTGCTATTTCCTATTATCTACATCTACGGGGAGCCCTCTCAAACATTTTCTACCAAGGCTGAAAAGCTGAACTGCCTCCAGTCTTTTTACATAATTCAGTGGCACCAAGAATTTTATTGAGAAAATTAAATAAATCTGTTTCCTTGTCTGTTTCCCAATTGATGACATTTTATATATGGAATGCTGTAATTCCAAAAAGCTTATGCAAAATGTTATCAGGAATGCAGCTAAGTATAAGCTTTAACATGAAGTGATCAAGATCGCACACAGCATCTTGAGTAACAATACTCTTTAATTATGGCAATAATCTCAAACAGTTTGAAAACATTTCAGGCTCAAACTAATTGCAGTTCAATATGAATTAACTGAAAGTGTTTTCCAAAACACAGAGCTGTCGTAGAGTTCTGCTAATATTTAATATTTCAACAGAGCATTTTGTATGTTATGTCTTGTACTTATAAGAGCTACCAATCTTGGAACTGAAGAGATAGATGTGAGATAGACCTGCAATGGATGACTCTCTGTGCAATAATAATATTTGTAAGCAAACCACTGGAAATAATTGCATTATTGTTATGATTTTAGTTGTCACTACTGGGGAACTAAGTTTAACAGAGTTCAAAATCATCAACAATACTGCATAGGTACTGAAATCTGTGAAATTATTTTTTTCCAAGAAAGAGAATACTGTGATAGTCCAATGACTGCTTAGTTTACTGAAGTTAAGAACAAATGTATGACTGGTAAGGTGTATACTTATCTTCTGGATTCCTATTTTTCTGATTATTTATTTTGAAGTTGATAAAATGCTAATAAATGGAATTTAGTGTGTACTGAATCTCTGAAACACAAGTACCAAAATTCTCAGTTGGGGTCCAACCCAGGAAGGGATTCCTTCTGGTATAATTAGCCATTTTTATCATCCAAATAATGGTGTTAGATGCTGTTGATAATTATTTTCTAGAATGTCCCTGGTTCTTTTACCAAAGGTACAGTAAGCAAGTGGGAGGATGTCTATGGATATTCACCTCTGTGTTTTTAAATGTGAACCAGGATTTTTAAAAGGGTTCAGATCGGAAGTAGGGATACAAAGTGGTGCCTCCAGCCTCTGTGCCAATTTGCTGCTGCAATTCCAACACTGAGCCAGTTTGAATGAGAATAATGAAGACAGAGCCAGTTATTGGAAATTGTAGGGCCTATTAATCCAACATTCCAGGACCTCCTGGAATTTACAGTTGGTAGAATTGATGGCCCACAGTGATCTGGTCCACTTCTGGATCAAGCCATCGTAATTGGCTTAGGGCATAGGAGCAGTGGTCGCAAAAGATCAAGTAGGACAAATAACCCCCAAAAGGACCCATAACTCCTCAACCCCAAAGTGGTGGAGCCCTCTCCCATCCTTTAACTAGTTGAGGCATTGCAGCGAGCATGGTTAAAGGCTGTGATGTTGACCCCAGTTGAAAATCCAGCCCATGATCTGTATATCTTTCCATTCACCATTTTTAGAAAAATCTATGTTGTAAAGTTGTAAAATATACTGTGTATTTTCACAGAAAAGTTTATGTATAATTTTATCCTTAAAAACTGCCAACATTGGCTCGTGGAAGAGTCAACAAAATCATCAAAGATGGGTGTGTTTCAAACTTATTAAGTGGGAATTTCAGTACATGATTTTATCCTATGGAATTAGCATGTGTTTTTTTTTATCCTTTGCTGCTTTTATGTTGCCATTGATAGATTAATGTTAAAGCCTAATTTCTAGGCTGATGCTTTTGTTTTTGGGAATCCCTTAAGAATGCAATCCAAGCTTTCTCTCACATTGGAACTGCATAGAATGCAAAGAATGCTGTTGAGTGCAGTTTCAAATCCATTTTATTACTCATTTAAATAGTCCCTCTCTGACACTTCCTATCCTTATTCTATTTTACATACATCTATTCACACTACACAAGTGCCGGACAATTGAACTATCTCCCCAATGAGATTCAGTGGCGTTACCATTGTTGAATTTCCCCACTACCTAAATCCTTGAGGATCACCATTGATCAGAAACCTAACTGGACCATTAAATAAACACTGGCTAGCAGAACAGGTCAGAAGATGAACCTTTTGCTGCAAGTAAGCTCCTGACACCCCAAAACCTGTCCACTTTCGACAAGGGAAGTCAGCATGTGATAGAATATTCTCCACTTGCTTGGATAATTACAGTTCCAACAACATTTAAGAAACTTTGACAGCATCCAGAAAAAGGGAACACACTTGATTGACACTACAATCACCATTTTGAATATTCAGTCCCTCCACTAACTGCACATTGTGTCTGCAGTGTTCATCACGTACAAGATACACTGCAGAAATTCCATCAACATCACCTTACAAACTCTGAAACTCTGTCTGTAAGAACATGGGAAGCATGCATTTGCACACCACCAATTAATAATACTTTTAAAAATCTAGCATTAAAAATGCTTAGTAATTCTCTGCGTCCATCAGTTTATTTTAAGGGAAAGAGTAGATTTAAACTTTCAGTGGTAGCTGAAAACAATTGGTCATCAATCAACCAGCATATGCACCCCACACAATTTTCCTTTCCTACAAAATGCTACTGTTTTGCTTTTAATGAAATGCTAAGATTTAATGTTGAGGGAATAAATATTTAGAAACTTGCATTTCTCACCACAGAGGCATACTAGATCAATTCTGAGCCTTATTAAAATGCATTTAATTAGTTGCATTTGATAACAAGATGGCAGCATTTACCTCTCCCTTATGCACAAGTGTACATCTGTCTGCATATGTACATGTTTATATATGTATTTTTCTTTTCCTGTAGAACTGTGAGTAATTCTATGGTGCACTGATGACAGTCTAGCCATAAAATAATGCTATCACAACCTTCAGCTGTATAATTTATCTAAATGAATGATCCATCAAGACAGGGAGATGTTCTTCTGAATCAAACATGAAGAGAAGTTTTGAAGAATTGACACAGTAAATACTTATATAAAATCAAAGATCTGCGGATGCTGGAAATATGAAAGAAAAATAGAAAGTGCTGGAGAATCTCAGCAGGACTTGAGATGTTAACTTTTTTTTTTACCCTCTACAGACGTTGATTTTCTCCGGCATTCTCTGTTTTTGAGTAAAGGTTTATGTTCATTATTATGTGACAACATGCTTCCTGCAGTGGATTATTCTGGTTGCTGTTCGTTCCCAGCATTTATTGCACATGCTGTGATGCAGTACAAATATTTGTCAGTTCTATATATGAATATAGAAATAATGCTGCACAAGTCAGCAGCCAAGCACTTAACCCTTGCATTATTATTCTACCTGTGCCACTTTAGCTCTAGCAGTCACCTATTAAAATAAACTATTATTTGTATTGGAATGTTGTCCAGAGGAATGGCAAATGGTACATTGTGTTTGTTAACTAAGACTGCAAAATGTATTATCTGGATGTATGTTCTCATATATGCAGTACCTTCTGACAGTTGAGAGAGAAATAGTGTGATTTTACAAAGTAATGCCCTAAAACTTGAGTCAAATGGGCTTGTAACTCTCAGCATTAATAACAAGAATTCATGTTCTCTGACAAAAAATGGAAAGCATTAAAATCATCAAAATTATGTTGTGATATCTCTTCAGTTTGCAAGTTGCTTTATTAAGACTGTTTCTTCCCAGCAAAGCAACATGCTATTTTCTTGTTTCTTATCTGCATGATTATCTTTCATACATTTAATAAGTGCATTGATACTACTGATGTAATTGAATGAGGCACAAGGTGTGGAATAACTGAAAAATGTTGAGGGCAACTGTTGGAGAATAATTATAGGTAAAGTTTATTTTACAATAATATTTAATGTTCAGTTATTTTACAGTATTTTTCTGCTATGAAGTTATTTGGTTAACACTGTGCACTTTAGAAAACAATGTAATTAGCAATTGATGATTTAACTGTTAAACTTTCTCACATTAATTACAAAAATTGGCCAATAGTTTTAGGTGCCAGTCCAATTCCTAACAGAATCTAAACTTGCACTAACAATTAAAAAGGTTTTTATTTATTATGAGTTATAGTTTTAGTAGTTTTAAATGCTCATTTAATGTCTGATCCTGAGTCATCCTGTTAATTTATTTGATTGCTTTGTATTGGAGACTATTTTTTAGGTTTACTTTTGATCTTGTAAAAAGTTATGTCTTGCAAATGTTTAATAAACCATATTAATAGATCATTTATCTTAAGATATTGTTTAAGCAAAATCTTACCAAATGGTTTATTCTTTCAGTTTGACATAATGAAGATAGATGTATCTTTCACAGTTGCTGCTAATGACTCATCACACGCAGTTAATCTGAAAAATCCTACAAGATTCCCCTAATGAATTCCATGTTGCACTTTTCACATGCAGAATAGGTGAACCAGGACCTCTTAACAAGGGCTTGTTGGATGGAAGAGGGAGTGGGTGGATGTGGGGAGGGAAAATTTCTGGAGGGGCCATGCTCTGATGAGCGCAGGATGACTGGGAATGAGGCACTCTGCACTTTGCTGACCAGAACATTACATGGTTAAATCTAGCAGCCTACACAATGACTGCAGGCCTTTCTCTTGCTGCCCATTAAATGGAATGGTGACAGATCGAATTAAGCCACTGATGGTTCATCTGCCTGATGCCTGCCCTGCAACCCACAAACCTTTGGTGTGGGACTACTGTGGAAGGGCGCAACTCCTTCATTAGTGAATCCACCCAACAGTTTTACTGTGTGTGCATTGCCTGTATTCAGCCCAAATTCATGTGAGATATCAAATCTGGGAAGACTAAATTAATGAAGCATTTCTTTTATTAAGTATCACTGACTAGCTACTGAGCTAGGCTATCCTTACAGTGTATTGACTTTTGAATAAACCAGTCTGGTTTGCTTAAACAATGAACCTAGCGTTGAATATGTTCATTTTTGTAGCATTGTTTTATATTTGTTTGAGTAGCATTGTTGTAATATGATATGGTTTTAAACTATTTTTAGAATAAAAAAAAATTAAGTTTGTGTGGCTTAGCTTTTCTTTCCAAACACAGGTGTCTAGATACCTCACCAAAAGTATGGATGGTGTGAATGGATATAAAGTTCACAAAATTCTGTTACTTAAGCAATTAATTGTTATGTTGTTAATAAATTAACAAAAGACATGGAGAGCCAGTTAAGGATATACTAGGTTCAGAAGACCAAATACCTTGTTGAATAAGTAGTGTCAAGGATTATCTCGATGAATATTTAGAAGAAGGAAGATAAAGTAGAGGGAAAGAGAGGTGTAGGGAGGGAACTCTAGAGCTTGAGGCTGAGGTAATTGAAGGCATACCTGCCAATGGTGAAGCAATTAGAACTGGGAATGTGCAAGAAGATGAAGAATTACACATTTCTCTGAGGATGTAGGGCTGGACTGTATCACAGACATAGAGAGGGGCACAGTCATTGGAGGTATTCAAAAACAAGCATGTGGATTTTCAAGTCTGGGAGCCAATGTAGTTAAGAAAGTACTGCATGATGGGTGAATTGGACAAACTGCAAGTTTAAATGAGGCCAGCAGAGTTTTGGATGACCTCAAGTGTATTGAGACTAGAATGTAGAATGTGAGAAGTCAGCCAGGAGTATGTTGCAATGGTCAAGTCTAAAGTTAAGAAAAGCACAAATGAAGATTTCAGCAGTAGATGAGTTGAGACAGAGGTAGAAGTTAGAGGGCTTAATTATAATAAGAATGAGGTCAGAAGCCCAAGCCAGAATGAAATATGACACCAAAGTTGCAATCAGATTGGCTAAATGCCGGCAGAGGAATGGAGTCAGTAGCTAGGTGTTTAGAACAGGAACTGAAACCAATTGCTTCAAGAATTCCCAGGATTTACTTGGAGAAAATTTCTCCTGCTCCAGTACTTGATGTTGGATAAGCAGTGTCATAATTTAGCAACAGTGGAGAAGGCAACTAAAGTGCTGGTGAGGTCGAGCTGAATGTTACAAGCATGCATTTTGTTGGCAGCAATGGTCGAGACTGCAACTGTCAAAAAGTAGACGAATCTCCTAAATGACCAGCAGAAATGCCAAAGTACAAGATTTCATGTTTTATGATTTCTACTGTAGCAAACAAATCTACAATCTGCATACATCAAACATTATAAAATGGATATTGAATGAAAGGAAGGGTGTACTTACATTACTATCTAATGTAATTGAGAGTGTGTTAAATGCCCGTTTGCTCTGCACTTTGCTTGTGCAAAGGAATTCCAAGAAATTATTGGTCCTCTATTTATAAAGGAACTACAAACTTCAGAATGTCAGGAGAGAATCAAAAACAGCAGTCTTCCACCTAGGAAATTTCCAGTCTTTCACATCTGAGGCGGGGTGGGGGGTGTGGAATTGTAATCTCCAAACTGCCTGAATTTACAAATTCAGACACTTGGTGGGGGGAGATGGTGTGGTGGTAAATATTGTTACATAAACAAATGTATAATGTTAACAATAAGAGAAAAAAAGCTTAGCAGTGTAATATATAGGTGTGCAAAGGTTAATACTGAGAGTGTCCTAAGTACCATCCACTGTGTTAATATCTGTGGACTTGTCGGCCAACCATCTTAGGGTTTTGAAGGAATGTGACCTGACATCTGCTTCTCCTCAAGACTGTGTATCAGTGTGTATATCATATCAATGTGACCTGTTACTAGTTGTTAATAAGCAATAAAGCTACTTTGTTAATTACAGGAGAGTTTCCTAATTAGGCCAGAAGTGGTGTTCCTCTATCACTCGACTAAGCAGGGCACATGGTTCAAAACACTTAGAGTGTTGTAAACTGGCTTTCCCATTTAACAATTCGAATTTTAATGAAAATATGGTCAAGGTAACAGAAGGTTATCGGGAAGGCGATGGCCTAGTGGTATTATTGCTGGACAATTAATCTAGAGACCCAGATAACATTCTGGGGACCCGGGTTTGAATCCTGCCACAGCAGATGATTGAATTTGAATTCAATAAAATATCTGGAATTAAAAATCTACTGATGACTATGAATCCATTGTCGATTGTCAGAAAAACCCATCTGGTTCTCTAATGTCCTTTAGAGAAGGAAACTGCCATCCTTACCTGGTCTGGCCTACATGTGACTCCAGACCCACAGCAATGTGGTTGACTCTTAACTGCCCTCTGGGCAATTAGGGACAGGCAATAAATGCTGCCTAGTCAGCGACGCCCTCATCCCGCGAATGAATTAAAAAAAAGGTAGGTTTCTTGGAGTTGAGATGAGTTCAGAAAAGGCATGGAGGAAGACAGAAGAGAAACTAGAGGATGTATTTAATATTCAGGTGTAACCAAAACCATTTTAGAAGTAATATTAAAGGTTCCATTCAATATAGGTTCCACAGGTCAGATTTTTGTAAGTTGAGGAGATTCTGGGGTGGGGCCTTGTAGTGCAATGATAGTGTCTCTACCCGGAGTCAGGAAGCTGGGATTCAAAGTCTTACCTGTTCTTGAGGTGTGTAATGACAGAAACAGTATCCAGTCCATTGTGGTTGATGTTGCAGGGATTTTACCTGAATGCTTGTAAAGCCGACTTCAAGAAGGATGTTAGCATATGTTTAAAAATCTTCACAGTGAATCCAAAGGATACAACAGAGGCATTGCTAATGGAATTTCTCTGGCATTCTGATATAAGAACAAAGAAAATTACAGCACAGGAACAGGCCCTTCGGCCCTCCAAGCCTGCACCGATCCAGATCCTCTATCTAAACCTGTTGCCTATTTTCCAAGGATCTGAATCCCTCTGCTCCCTGCCCATTCATGTATCTGTCTAGATACATCTTAAATGACGCTATCGTGCCTGCCTTTACCATCTCCGCTGGCAACACGTTCCAGGCACCCACCACCCTCTGCGTAAAGAACTTTCCACGCATATCTCCCTTAAACTTTTCCCCTCTCACCTTGAAATCGTGACCCCTAGTAATTGAGTCCCCCACTCTGGGGAGAAAGCTTCTTGCTATCCACCCTGTCTATACCTCTCATGATTTTGTAGACCTCAATCAGCTCCCCCTTCAACCTCCATCTTTCTAATGTAATTAATCCTAATCTACTCAACCTCTCTTCATAGCTAGCGCCCTCCATACCAGGCAACATCCTGATGAACCTCCTCTGGACCCTCTCCAAAGCATCCACATCCTTTTGGTAATGTGGCGACCAGAACTGTACTCAATACCCCATCCGATGAATGAAAGCATGCCGTATGCCTCCTTGACCACTCTATTGACCTGCGTTGCCACCTTCAGGGTACAATGGACCTGAACACCCAGATCTCTCTGTGCATCAATTTTCCCCAGGGCTTTTCCATTTACAGTATAGTTCGTTCTTGAATTGGATCTTCCAAAATGCATCACCTCGCATTTGCCTGGATTGAACTCCACCTGCCATTTCTCCGCCGAACTCTCCAATCTATCTATATTCTGCTGCATTCTCCGACAGTCCCCTTCACTATCTGCTACTCCACCAATCTTAGTGTCATCTGCAAACTTGCTAATCAGACCATCTATACCTTCCTCCAGATCACTTATGTATATCACAAACAACAGTGGCCCCAACACGGATCCCTATGGAACACCACCAGTCACAGTTCTCCATTTTGAGAAACTCCCTTCCACTACAGCTCTCTGTCTGCTGTTGCCCAGCCAGTTCTCTATCCATCAAGCTAGTACACCCTGGACCCCATGCGACTTCACTTTCTCCATCAGCCTACCATAGGGAACCTTATCAAACGCTTTACTGAAGTCCATGTATATGACATCCACAGCCCTTCCCTCATCTATCAACTTTGTCACTTCCTCAAAGAATTCTATCAAGTTGGTAAGACATGACCTTACCTGCACAAAACCATGCTGCCTATCACCAGTAAGCCCATTTTCTTCCAAATGTGAATAGATCCTATCCCTCAGTATCTTCTCCAGCAGCTTCCGCACCACTGATGTCAGGCTCACTGGTCTATAATTACCTGGATTATCCTTGCAACCCTCCTTAAACAAGGGGACAACATTAGCAATTCTCCAGTACTCTGGGACTTCACCTGTGCTCAAGGATGCTACAAAGATATCTGTTAAGGCCCCAGCTATTTCCTCTTTCGCTTCCCTCAGTAACCTGGGATAGATCCCATCCGGACCTGGGGACTTGTCCACCCTAATGCCTTTTAGAATACCCAACACTTCCCCCTTCCTTATGCCGACTTGACCTAGAGTAATCAAACATCTATCCCTAACCGTAACATCCGTCATGTCCCTCTCCTTGGTGAATACCGACGCAAAGTACTCATTAAGAATCTCACTTATTTTCTCTGACTCCTCGCATAACTTCCATCCTTTGTCCTTGAGTGGGCCAACCCTTTCTCTAGTTACCCTCTTGCTCCTTATGTACGAATAAAAGGCTTTGGGATTTTCCTTAACCCTGTTTGCTAAAGATATTTCATGACCCCTTTTTGCCCTCTTAATTCCTCGTTTCAGATTGGTCTTACTTTCCTGATATTCTTCCAAAGCTTTGTCTGTTTTCAGTCACCTAGACCTTATGTATGCTTCCTTTTTCCTCTTTGTTAGTCTCACAATTTCACCTGTCATCCATGGTTCCCTAATCTTGCCCTTTTTATTCCTCATTTTCACAGGGACATGTCTGTCCTGCATTCTAATCAACCTCTCTTTAAAAGCCCCCCACATATCAAATGTGGATTTACCCTCAAACAGCTGCTCCCAATCCACATTCCCCAGCTCCTGCCGAATTTTCTTATAGTTGGCCTTCCCCCAGTTTAGCACTCTTCCTTTAGGACCACTCTTTTGTCCATGAGTATTCTAAAACTTACAGAATTGTGATCGCTATTCCCAAAGTAATCCCCTACTGAAACTTCAACCACCTGGCCGGGCTCATTCCCCAACACCAGGTCCAGTATGGCCCCTTCCCGAGTTGGACTATTTACATACTGCTCTAGAAAACCCTCCTGGATGCTCCTTACAAATTCTGCTCCATCTAAACCCCTAACA